TAAAAAATAAAAAAATATTACACTACTCCAAGAAATTAAAGGAACAAAAATATTTTGGTGATATTTGAAAGGCTGTATCTCATCGAAAAATGATTTAAAAAAATTACATTTTGAAACTTTAAGTTTCTAGTCTTGAAATTTTTGGGCAAATTTTTTTTCTGTGCTACGGTTATCACACAATCTTAAGTAACAGCCCGAAAAACACATTATTTTTTTTTGGTCCACGGACTTGGGGATTTTTTTTTTAGTTAGGTCAATACATGGGCCGGTTAGCATGTTTATTTACCTTTAATATGCTTTTTAAATATTCTTTTTACGTCAATTTATCGCTGAGATATCTGACTTTAAATGAAAAAGAATTTTTTTGTCTTTGATCATCGATATCTCAGCAACCATTGATCACATAGAGAATATAAGGGTAGTGTCAAAAACTGGAATAAATCGACTCTCCTAACGAAAACTATAGTAATTGATAAAAATTGGTTTTTGAGTACGATGGCTTAGTTTTGAGTAGAGAGGAAGAGAACAAGAGAAAATAACAATAATTATTAAATAGAAAAAAGTCCATATTAATAAATTAGGAAATATAATGACGGAAGATTAAAAAGAATAAAAAGAGAAAAATAATGAAACACAAAAAGAGGTTCAGTAAAAGAAAAAGAAAGAGGTCGAAGAACAGAAGAAAGTAGAGTAGAAAGAAAAAACAAGAAACAACAAAAAAATAGAATATTTTTTTCATTCCAAATAAAAAATAAAAACGTTAAAAGATAAGGAAGGAGAATCAGAAATAGAGAGCGTGGATTTAGAGAAAAACTGWATAAGAAGAAAGAATCAGTTTTGAATAGAAAGAAAGAGAACAAGAGGAAATTGTTTGAAAAGAAAAGGAATACATTTTGAGCAAGAAGAAATTGGGTAAAATCATAGATGGAAGAACGTAAAAATTCGGAATTCGAAGGAAAAAGGGGGTTCAGTATGAGTAGAAGAAACTTGCACTTAAAAATTTTAAGAAAAAAAAATTGAAAGGGATAAAAAATAAAAAAATATTACACTACTCCAAGAAATTAAAGGAACAAAAATATTTTGGTGATATTTGAAAGGCTGTATCTCATCGAAAAATGATTAAAAAAAAATACATTTTGACACTTTAAGTTTCTAGTCCTGAAATTTTTGGGCAAAGTTTTTTCGGTGCTACGGTTATCACGCAATCTTAAGTAATAGCGCGAAAAAAACAATTCTATTTTTTTTTGTTTTAGTTTTGGTCCACTGACTTTTTTTTAGTTAGGTCAATACATGGGCCGGTTAGCATGTTTATTTACCTTTAATATGCTTTTTTCATATTCTCTTTACGCCAATTCATCGCTGAGATATCTGACTTTAAATGAAAAAGGATTCTTTTCAAAAACGGGAATAAATCGACTCTCCTAACGAAAACTATAATAGTGACTTATAAAAATTAGTTTTTGTGTACGATGTAGGGCCCAAAATACAAAAACAATGAGAAAAAATTTCTATGAATAAACAATATTATTACCAAAACTTAGACCCTCAGTAATTTTCAATAATATTAAATAGTTCCTTGATTTTTTATTACCAATCATAGATTCAATGCAATTTTTCTCAAAACTGTAATTTTTGAGTTAATATAGCTTTCGTTGGGAGAGTTGAAATGTCTTAGAAGAGCTTTTTATGATTTTTTGAAAAATATTTTTTTTTATTTTCAACATTGATTTAAAAAAAAAGAGAAAAGAGTAAATTTTTACGTTGTTTTGGTAATTCTACCGCATATTCAGTAATAATATAGCCCTGCTAATTTTGAAATCAATCCATCGAATCGTTTTTTCGGACCGATTGATCAAAATTTTGCAAAATAATTAAAGGATCAGTTGGGTCGTTGCACATATTTTTTTATTGCATATTCTGAACCTTTATTAAAAAATAATTTACCTATGTTTTTGTTTTTTTTAATCTTAATTTTAGTACAAAAAAACATATCAAAAACTCGTAAAGTAAAATAAATTCAAAACCCCAAATTTAATAATCGAAATTATGGTATTTCAAACTCTTCCAAGTTAATTTTATTGATAAATCGCTTCTTTGTAAGGTAATCTCTAACGTATAAAAGTGAAAAACACAAAAACTCCGATGGATGCAACGACCCTATGCAGATATTGTTTCTGCACATTTCCTTATCTTTATCAGAATGAGAATAACAATTTTTTTTCGACTTTTTTCACAATTTTGCATTAGTTATTTGCTAAATTTTTTTTTTGAAAATTTGTAAAAAAGATTCAAGATACAATACTGCTTAATTTAAAAAAAAGAGAATGAAAAAAAAGTTTTTGATTTTTTTAAATTTGGAAAAAAATTCAAGAAACAATACTGTTCAATTTTTGAACAAAAAATCAAAAATAATTTTTTCGAAACTTTAAATTGATTTTTTTTTAATTTAACTAATAATTCATACAATATTGTAAGAAAAGGTAAAAAAATGTTTTTTTTTATTCTGACGAAGATTAGATAATATTCAGGAACAATATGTACAATTGTTTCTTTAATTCTTTTGTAAAACTTTGATTAATCGATCCGAGAAAACGCATTAATGGATCGATTTAAAATAACAGGGCTATGGGGAATACATTGAGCTATAAAAAACACCTAAAAACAATCAATATTAGTGAATACACGGTAGATTTACAATGCAAATAAGACATTATACCTAACGAAAAACTGCGTGGTCAAATCCTGTCGAATTCGACAAAGTTGTATAGAAAGTAGAAATTTTAGGGGGCTCGCGGCTTTGCCGCTCGCCCCCTTCTAGACCTCACATTATATGATTCGCAAATGTTTTGTCAAATTATCGGGGGTTTCGCTCCGAGTAGAATTTACATTTATTTTATTTATAGGGGCTCGCGGCTTTGCTGCTCACACTATCTGATTCGCAAAGGTTTTGCCACATTTAGTCTTTTTAAAACACATTTTTGCTTAACCTGAATCGAACAAATCTCATTATTCTGATTTATGATCGTGATTCCGTCTCAGTCATTCATTTTTCTATTGACCTGCAATAATTTTTGTTATTTTACTTGCTTAGACTTTTTTGCTTTATCCAAAATCAACACAAAAATGAACTTTCACTGAGTCAGAATAATAATAAAGTTTTAATAACAGATTTGCGCGTTTCAGGTTAAGTAAAAATGTTATTCCTTTGCAGTAAAATCAAAATAGTAAACTTGATTTACTTAAAGCGGAGAGGGAAAAAATATAAAGTAATAGAAAGGCCATAACAAACTCTCGAAATAAGGTTAAAAAAAATAAATTAATTATTTGTGTCTAAAAAAAATATATTAAAATTATGGTTTCAGGACAAAAAAAGTTATATTTGTCGTTTTAGGACGAATACTGGCGTTTGAGGATTTTAGGACGCAAAAAAAATTGTGTACGAACTTTATTTCATCTAAAACGTTTAAAATTTATGTCCCGTCCAAGTAGAATCAAAAAAAGCATTTTACCTAAAATCCGGTCTCTAGTGCTAACCGTAGCACAGAAAAAAAATTGACAAAAAAGCTCAAAACTAGAAACTTAATTAATTATCACCAAAAAAAGTTCGAAATGTTTTTGTTCCTTTAATTTTTTGGAGTAGTGTATTTTTTTAATGAGCAAGTTGCATTTTGTTCTTTACCAATTCATCAGCTGGGGGATCTGTCCAAAAATGATCCGGAGTCTTAGTCCTGGAGTAATCCAGGGCGCAGGGCCCCACCAATAGCGAGCTAAGTATGCTTCCATAGTCGGGATCGGCCACAAGAGCATCCTTATCGTAGTATTTATTAGCATTTGAAACTAAATAGTCTATAATTTTCGCCAATTGTTTCTCGAACAAAGCCAATCTGATCCAGAGATACTTCGGGAGTGGATTCGACGGTAACGAATGATTTTTTTTCAAAGTTGGCTTATTCATACTTTCGCTACTACTCGACGACCTCCGTGTGGGGTCAGCATTTTCAATTTCCTGCACTTTTTTCGAAATAAGCGCCGCTTCTTTAGAATGCTTTGCGATTTTATGTAGCAGAGCCGTAGTCGAGGAGGTCTTAAAAAGGCCCAAAGCGCGACGTCTCAACCCTTAAAAAAATATTAACGAACCTAAAAATGATTTATTTTAGTCCCACCCTGAGACAAACAAGCCTCCACCGCTGCACAAAGTGACGTCACAGAGCCACTCTCCTCATGCACGAATTTTCGAGTCACCGACTCCTCCATCACTTGTTTCACTTCTTTTTTAACAGCGGCAATGAGACGCCCTTTGAATTCATTTTCTACAAATCGACAATTAAAAAAAAGGATGCTAATCACATTTTGTACCATTGTTTGGAGACATGCTGCTCACTGATAAAAAAGAACGGAAATTGTGCGATAACTGATTACGGCTTTTTGTGGCTAAATACGCCACGTCCGTTCGTACCCATCAAATTTTTTACTACCTTGAGGGAAAATCGATGCGGGAAAATGCAGTTTTGCGCAAGTTCAAGCCCGGGTGCGCGGCACGCCACTGGAATGCGGACGCATTACAGATTTCTGTAACAAGTAGGTGGCGCCCTTAGAGATGGGAACATCGAAATGTTCTGTGACATCGATGATCGAATAAGAAATCATCGATGTAATATATTTCGCCCCAAAACATCGATACTTAAAAAAAATCGATGTTTTTTATTGAAAAAAAAAAATATTTACCAATTTTTTTAATAATAAATTTTTGGAACATAAAAAAATACAAATACAAACATATTTCTTACAGTTCTTGCACAAAACATAAACAAATACAAACTACAAACATAAAACTTAACCACCTACATCACTTCATCATCGTTAATTTTGTTAAAAAACATCGAATTCTCGATACTTCGAATTTAAATTTTATCGAATGAAATTTTCAAATTAAAAGAAATTAAAAATAATTAACTGAACCAATTTGGATGTATCGAAATAAGATTTTTTGTATTCTCAAAATCTATTAATTTCTCACTTTGCAATCTTCTTTTCCCTTTAATGTTCTAAACGTTAACACAATTTATGTCTATATCCAAATTTTGAATCTTTTGATTCAGTTTTACTTATTTTCAGAAAATTTCAGTCGAAAGCTCTGTGATTTTTTTTTGCTTTAATTTAGTGTTTGTTAATGTTTTTCTTTCTATTTTTTTTAGTTTCAAGTTCAAAATTTTGAATTTTTGCAATCTACTTTTAATTAGTTTTCATGTTTCACTTTCTAATTCTTTCATCATTATAATCTTTCAAGACATTTCGGTCTTTAAATCATATCTTATTTCTATGAGTTTTTTACTACGAATTTCCATTTTCATTCAATAATATGTAGTCGTTCATAACAGCAGTTTTCAAGATATTTTTCATTTTTTATTTTTTGGAATTTCATTCTTTAATTTTTGAGCTTTCTATTTTAGGATCATGTTTTAAAATATTTTTGTAGTTTCCACTCTCAACATCTATTAATTTCCCACTTTTCAATGTTCCAATCTAGATTTTTTCCATTAAATATCCTAAACGCTAAGATAGTTTATGTCTTATTTCGTCTTTTTCTATTTCCAAATCTTTCTATTCTTTAACCTTTACTTCTTTGTTTAATTTTAGTCATTCTTTGACTTTATATATCTTTTGATTCAATTGTACTAATTTTTTTTTAAATTCGAATCGAAAAATTTGTGACTTTGTTTTTTGATTTAATTTAGTGTTTGTTAATGTTTTTCTTTCCATTTTTTTAATTTTAAGTCCAGAATTTTCAATTTTTGCAATCTAATTTTTACTTGTGATTAGTTTTTGTTTCATTTCTAAATTTTCTATTGTTACAATTTTCTCCATCGAGACCTATCTTCTTATTTCTCTGAATTTTTTACATAAAATTTCATACATTAATATGTAATCATTTATAACAAGCGGTTTTTGAAGATATTTTTCTTTCTTAGCCTTTTTTAAAGATTTTTCTGCTTTATTTTTGTGACTTTTCTTCTTTAATCTTCATGTGCTTTTTATTTTTCAAACATTTTTTATTATCATAATTATTTCAAGACATTTTTCGATTTTCTCAAAATCTATTAATTTTTCAATTTTGTATGTTCCAATGTTTAGTCATACGTTTTTCTTTTTCCAAATTTTAAATCTTCCAATTCTTCGTTCAGATTTTCTTTGTTCCTACTTTATAAATTTTTATTCTCATCCAATAATATGACAAGCACTTTTCATTTATTTACATTCTTTGTTTAGATTTCTTTTTCTTCATCCTTAAACATTAAGAAACAAGTTTAGTTTTTCAATATTTAAAATTTTTCAAACTCAAAATTGACTAAAAGGAAAGAAGATTAAGGTGTAAAAATATACCACAACTGCTTATTTATAATTAATTTGTAATTAAATTAACGTCAGTTGACCTCTAATGCCTCACTTGGAAAAACATCGATGTTGAAAAAAAATACTTACACATTTTTAAATCGATATTTTTGCCCATCTCTAGGCGCACTCGCTGCTGCTGTCAAAAATTTCCTTAGAGATGGGAACATCGAAAAATATATATCGATGTTCTGTGAAATCGATGATCGAATAAGAAATCATCGATGTAATATATATCGCCCCAAAACATCGATACTTAAAAAAATCGATGTTTTTTTATTGAAAAAAAATCATTTAACAATTTATTTAATAATAAATTTTTGGAACTTAAAAAAATACAAATACAAACATATTTTTTACAATTCTTACATAAAATATAAACAAATACAAACACATCACTTCATCATCGTTAATTTTGTTAAAAAACATCGAATTCTTCATAAATCTAATTTAAATTTTTTGAATGAAATTTAAAAATTAAAAAAATTAAAAATAATTAACTGAACCAATTTCGATGTATCGAAGTAAAAAAATCGATATTTAAAAAAATACTTACACATTTCTAAATCGATGTTTTTACATCGATGTATTTGACCAATATTCGATGTTTGAAAAACATCGATATTTTTTGCCCATCTTTGGCGTAGCATTACAGATTTCTGTAACAAGTAGGTGGCGCACTTTCGCTGTCAAAAATTTCCCATTTGAGGTTAGTTAGTTCTTATGTTTGCCTCTAAACCCCGCGAGAACGAGTTCGCCCCTTGCCTTTTTCGGGAGAATGACCGAGAGCACCCGCGCTGAAGAAATACTGAAAGGTTTCCAAGTGTGAGTATTTTCTTTGAGAAAACCTGAAAATTCGAATGGGGTTGTAGGAATTGGGTTTGTTTGCGCGACGCCGACGGGGGCACCGTTTTCTGGCAAGGTTCCGAAGACTTGAGCTTCCCCGACGTGGAACATGAAGCTCATGTACCTAAAAACATCCTCAAATGTCGTGCAGTATCTCGAGAGTTTAATTTTAGTTCCAAAGAACAAATCGAGAAATTTCGTTTGGAGCAAGTAAAGTGTTGCGAATTGTGTTTTTGGAAGGTTTTTCGTAGAAAGTATTGTTTAAGGGACGGTGTCTTGAAGAGTGGTACTTTGAATTTGGTTTTGTTATGCCAGAATCGACAAATACATGGCAATCGATCATGGAAGCGGCGCCTGAGTCTGAAATGATGCCCGCCTCCGTCCTCAAGTAATCCATCGCGATGTAATTAAACGATTTAATCGATATTTTCAGCGGCAATGTTGTTATTGAAACGAAATTCTATGACGACGATCTGTTAATTTCCACATCGAGAGTGCGGTTATTCTACGTTTGAATCAAAAGGAACACCAAAACGGGGCCACTGTTGCGTCTTGTTACCATTGTGTGATAATAACAATGTATGCATTTACTTTATTACATTTTCCAATAAATCAAATTGTTTCACTCAAATCTGGTGAATTTAAGTTTACAAAGTTGGTGGCATGTGGACGAATTAATAATTCGAAAAACGTACCAGATAGCTATCTCTTTTAAACATTTGTAAACAACCTTGTTACTCTCTCGCTACGTATTGCGTAAGGTCGGTCACGCTATATCTCACTTTAATAAATGCGATAAAGTAACGCAGTGCTAGTGACGTACGTCTTACCGTCACGTGGGTCATTTGTAATTTCATTTTTAATGGGGAAAACTGTCTTGAGACTAATATTTACCTCTATATAATCGTAATTCAAGCCTTATAAAAATCCTAATGCCAGGGAGAAGCTTCAATTTTAGATTTTAGTACCAAAATGTCAAAAACTGTCAAATGTCAAAAACAGACCGTGGTCATGTCGTGTTCTTGATTCACACTACCTCCCCCAGCAATTAAAAAAAAAACAAACTTTAATTGCCCTTGGTTTTAAAGCCTCAACTGCTTTTCACCCCATTAGCAATAATTTATTTTTCCTAATTGTTATTTAGTTAATGTTGGTAGTTGTGACTAAACCGGCAACTTGATTTGTTTGGGGTGGCTTAAATGGGTCAAAGGCGGCGCATGTGCCCTCACCTGGGTGGGGATGGAGCTAAAAACACTAATGGCAGCCCTCTTGTAACTCCAAGGGGTTGAAATTGCACTTTTCGGGATTATTTACTTCGTCAGGTGAGTGAATTCGTGTTAAAAATCTCGCAAAACCCCCTTGTAGTCATTGTAGTTTTGAAATGGAACCACCAGGAATGGAAGCAGGGATGGACTTTCCGAAAAACCCACTTTTGTGCCCCATCTGCCACGATTATTTCACAGAACCGTGCATTTTAAGCTGTTATCACACTTTCTGTGCGAGGTGTTTGAGGGGTCGTGAGCAGGACCGCCGTCTCGTTTGCCCCTTTTGCAGGTGGGTGATTTAGACAAGTCCGCTCCTGTAACGCCTGAATTGTAGGCAACCAACTCTGCTTAAAGATGGGTCAATGCTGCCGCCCCCTGACACTCTGATGAGACAACTCATTGATATTGCCAATAGTGAGAACCCCCCGTGTTCAAATTGTGACAAAAGGGACAGAGCAAACATGTATTATTGCAATACTTGTGGTATTTTACCAATTTTTTGTAAATACCGTTGAAAAATTTTGGGTTTTAGGCCAAGCGTTGTGTTCCCACTGCCGCGACAATACCCACCGGGCTAAGATGTTCGCAAGTCATGATATTGTGCATATGACTAAATGTACAAAAGAACCCAAAAGGGTGAGACAATTGTTTGTTTTCTTTTCTTTCTTACACTAAATCTGGTTTTTAGTGTCTACAACATGGAGAGCAATATATTATGTATTCGCCGCTTCAGAATAATATGCTTTGTGTTAATTGTTTCCGTGATTTACCGAACGAAATCAGGGCACAGTGTGTCGATATTGACACGGCCCATACCCAAGCTGCTAAAAGACTAGAACGCGGACAAAACGCCATTATGGATTTGCAGGTAATCCCCCGAAATAATTTTTTGCATCGATTTTTCTTTTTATAATTTGGTGGAAATGGTGGATGCGCCGGGTTAATAAATTAAATTAAGGCTCATTTTTAGCTGGAAGTTGGAAGAAATAAAATACATGGATTAACAGAATTAAAAAAAATGATTTTTGGATTTAAAAACTAAACTCTTAATTGACAATACAGAATAAATACAGAATAAAGTTTATTTACCTCAACGACAGATTAATTACGAATTCGATTACAATTTAATAACTAAATTTAAACAAAGTCATATTATGTAAGGACATTTCAAAAACGACCAACAGAAACTCAAAACGTTTGAATTTTTTTTTAGCGTATTCGTATCGACTAGTAATTTTTATTCAAAAATGAATGAATTATTTATTTGTTTTTGTTGTTTTTATTACGTTTAATGACATACCTGTAATTTTTTTAACGGAAATTCAAACGGTTCAAACAATAAAGGCAGTTGGTAGTTCCGACTTTTGAATAAATTTGAAAACAATGTTACACAAAAACGGAGACAATTCGGTACCTTTCAGTTTTTGGACATTTGACACAATAAGTGTGCAAGCAGGAAGTTAGAAAAAGGGCCCTCTAAAATGTACACGCAATTTGTAAGGCAAATTTGCTAAACATTCTCTAATTTTTATAAGAAATTGACGAAAATACAAAATAAACATGAATAAAAAAGAACGCAATTTTATTACAAAAAAATTATTGCCTTTCTTCATAATACCTTCTTGTATTTTTAACTTTTTTCTGTATACAAAACCTTTTTCATTAATGTTCTTGTAACAAGAAGCTCATTTTCGCACGCAACATGTGCTTCTGTCAATATTTTAGCACTGAATTCTGTCTTTAGACATTAGGTAACACTTTCAAAGAGCAAGCAGCACACAAAATTCATAAAAATCAAAATTTTGACAATTTCAGCAATCATAATTTTTCAACAAAATTTCTAAGGACAAAAACAAAAAACACAAATTTTGTGGCTACTGTGATAAGCTGATATTTAATTTTTGACATGGTAAAGATTTTTTACGAAAATGTTAAGCAACCTTAAGGATAAACTACAGGGTGTTTTGTAAATAGACCAAAAACGGAAAATGCCAAGTAAGATAGATAACATACCAGCAACATTTAAAAAATGTTTAAAAAATTCTATCTGTCAAAAAATTATGACATTTGGCTCAATGTTGCCAGTGTGGTGAAATTTCACCAGATCTAGTGATTTTCATGTTAATTTGGTGATTTGGTGAAAACTTTTGTAAAAATTCTAATATCTGGGGATTTTTTGGAAATGAAAAAAACTGTTTTTCGAGCATTTTCCACGTTTTCAACCAGAAACATAATTATTTCGTCAAATTTTTTCAAAAGACTCGAAAAACCAAATTGGTTACAAATAGTTCTGTTTGTTTTTTTTTACAAGATTTTACTAAACAGGATCGAAAATGACAATTTATTTTTGTCTTTTTCGAATACTTTTATAATTATTTCGCAAAATTGGCGAAAAGCACAGAAATAAAATAATTTTTGTCTTTTTCAAAAGTTCAAATAGATTTTTAAGCTGAAAACTCTGGTTTATCATGAGAGTTTGCCGTAGCATGTCAAAAATCACTAAATTGTTAGAGATTACATTATGATATTTTTACCTAACTCTTAGGCATTAATTTGATGATTTCGTCAAATTTTTTCGAAGAAAAAAATAATTGAAAAACACCAAATTGGTTGAAAATTACAACTTATTTATGTCTTTTTCTTATTATTTTGCAAAATTTTGTTAAAAACAAGCCACAAATTCGACAAGACAGCCTCCTAAAAACGGCATTTTTGGCCTTTGTCGAGTGTTTAAGCATGTTTTTGAGAGAAAAACACAAAAAGTTTGGAATATTGCGTTGAAACAGGCTGAAAAATTAAAAATTAAATTAATTAAATCGAAATTGATATCATTTTTTAGCTTGTTTCGCCCGACTTACATACTTCATTTTTGAACTATCATCAGAGGTTCATTTATTTTGCAAAATCTCCAATACGCCTAAAAATCACAAAAAGGATTGATATGTTTTTCAGCTAGAAACTCAATTATTTCGCAAAGTTGGTAAAAAAACAAGCCAAAAAATACAGAATTAGGTCAAAAAATGATATAATTTTTCCTTTTTCCAATGTTCAAGCAAATTTTTACGCTGAAAACTCTGTTTTTTCGCGAGAGTTTGCCATAGCGTTTCAAAAATCATTAAATTGTTATAAAAAAAGATTATATTACGATATATTTATCTAACTCTTAAGCTTTTATTATTTAACTTGATTATTTCGTTAAATTTTCTTGAAGAAAATATAATCGAAAACCACCAAATTGGTTAAAAATAGTTCTATTTATTTTTTTACAAGATATTACTAAACAGAGTGGAAAATGACAACTTATTTTAGTTTTTTCGAATGCTTTTTCCGCTAGAAACACAATTATTTTGCAAAATTTTGTCAAAAACAAGCCACAAAATTCAATAAAATAGCCCAAAACTGCGTTTTTTGTCGTTTTCGAGTGTTTAAGAATATTTGTGAGAGATAAAAACACAAAACAGTTCGAAATATTGCATTGAAGCAGGCTAAAAAATTACAAAATTAAATTGAAATTGACTTTGTTCCACTGGATTTAACTGGTTTTTGAACAAAAATAAGCTGAGAAACCACAAAATTTGGCCACGATTTGTTAGATTTCGCTTAAATAAACTCAAAAATCAAGAAATTAAGTCTAAAATTATATTATTTTGCATTTTTTCCGGCGTTTTAAGCAAAAAAGGGAGAAACCACAAAATTTGACCGAAAATGCTTTTAGCACGTTTTTGTACTAAAATCTCAGGTTTTTCACTATATTTCGCTAAAACAAACTAAAAAATCCAGAACTTAACTGTAGAATTACATTATTTTTACATTTCTCGAGCATTTTAGCACGTTTTTCAGCTAGAAACGCGATTATTTCGCAAAATTTTGTTGAAAACAAGCCGATAAATCACAGAATTAAGCCGAAATGCATGTCATTTTTGTTTTTTTGAAGGGTTCAAGCGGATTTTTAAGTTGAAAAATGCGTTTTTTCGTGAGATATAGCCAAACAAATCGTAATCTAATGAAAATTTGGCGAAATTAAGATCTGGTGAATTTTTTTTTGATGTGAACAAACTTGGAAAATTATTTTTTTAACAGAAATAAATAGGTAGAGTCAAAGTGCAAAATTTAAACTCTCATAACTTTGAAATTTTTATTTTTTTGTTTTTTGTACATTTTTTTAATGTTCCTGGTATCTTATTTTACTCGGCATTTTCCGTTTTTCGTCTATTTATAAAACACCTGTATACTAAATAAAAAAAATGTACAAAAATTATGAAAAAAATATTATAATTTTGTAACGGCCTTAGGAATTGAAATTTTTTGTCCGAGTCATTACAAAAAAAAATTATATGTATAAAAAAACTACTGTTGGTACCACTGGCAAATCCATTTATGGTAAATTTAATAAAGAGGAAATTTTAACGTTCTTCAATTCTCTTCTCAATTTACGTTTTTTTGTTTTTCTTATCTCTAGTTCCTTTTGTTATTGTCTATTTTTTGTTAGACCTCAGTACGTGACGGCATAATAGCCCTAAAAAGCATGATGGACGAATTACGCCGCAACATGGACAGCGAGAAGCACACAATCAACACTTTTTGTCAAGGAATGCAAGAAGCAATGGCCAAAACCCACGCCGCCATGATAATGGAAGTGCAAAGACAATACGAAAGCAAAGACCGAATATACCGCAGCCAACTTCTAGTCTTAGGTCCACAAACCCCAAATTACTCTTCTAGTTTCACAATTTCGTATTAATTCCAGGAACTGTGATGCCAGTTTTACAATTACATCTCGTTTTGTGTACCACATTCACTGCCGCCGCAAACAAGTACCAGTTCCTCGAACTGTGCCCTTCATTACTTGAACGTTTATCAGCTGTAGGGCAATTGAGTCAACCAGTGCGCTCTTTACAAAGTTCCACAATTAAAACCAACTACAGGAGTGAATTTGCTCAATGTTTGGAACCGTGGATTGGTCCAGCTGCTGTCACTCAGCACCAATCAGAAGTCGCTGCAGGTAAGCCCCCTCGAGACAACCCAAATCTATTTTTTCGGCCTCCGTCTAAAATTAGTGATTTTACAATCGTTCAAATCGTCCTGACAACACCCATTTGCGTGTCTTGGCAAGAAAAAGAAAATAAAAACAGGGTTTTTTTAATGAAAGCAGTGATCAGGGAATTTTTCCATAATTCAAGGGACTTTTCTAACAAAAAGGGAAAAAGGGATTTTTTTCAATTTTTCATAGTAATCTAGGGATTTTTTACATTTTCATTGAAAATCTCAATTTTTTTCACACTGCTGGCACAGTTTCAAAAATTACAAAAATTTTTAATATGAATATCGTAACTTCGCCAAGTTAGCGCATTTGTATATGAGTTTAGCACCAAAAATGTATTTTCTGTAGTTGTGTAAAGACAAAAAACGAACAAGATAAAGCCGTTTGCGTTTTTCGCGTTGCCAAGTTTACTAATTATTGCAGTTCATTTAATGTTTTAGACGAATATTTAAAATTAATGAAATCCCATAATCCCATAAGTATAAATAAAAATTAAGTAGGTATCTAAATATACACGTTTATTTGAATTTGTTTTAATTGACTTGTATTTTATTTTTTTTATTTCTTTAGTAAAATTTATTTTAATTTATTGTTATATTATTTATTGATTTTTTGTTGTTTGGAGTTAACACATTTTTATGTTGTATTTATATTATATTACCTCAACAAAATAAGCCTATGAAATAGTATCTTTTTAATTTTTTAATTAGTTTAGGGAATTCTAGGGAATTTAGAAGCTACAATCTAGGGACAAGCGCTTAATCTCATCTGGCATCACTGAATGAAAGTTTTTGTATTGGTAGCACTGAGTGACACTGAAATGTCAAAAGTCTTTTCTGTATTTCTCTTTCTGTTACAAATTTTAGCTTTCTACACAGCCAACAAATGACCTTTTGGAAGTCTGCAAAAACAATTTGTTTCACATAAACATAATCTCAAACCATGATGAGTGAAAACTGATTTCTTCGGGCCTAAATCTCGTATTTCTACACCATTCCACTGCACACGACATTTTGATCGAAAAGTCGAATCAGAATAAATCGAATTTTAAGAAAATTTTCAGAAGTTTATTTCTTCAACAAATCATATTCTTTCCAATAACGATTGGATGTTTTTACTGGTAATAAATTTTGAATTGCAGCTTCTACCTAGAGATATTCAGTTTTTTTTTAATATTTAATAATAACAATAATAATAATAATAATAGGTCTTTATTAGAATAAATAAATAAATAAATAAAATACAAACTCTGTGGGGCAAAGTCTAGCCGAAGGCTACTCAACTCAACCCCAAAAAAATAAAAAAAAATAGATAAATATATATCTATTTCTGCGCCAGAACTCGCGCCCCAGAGAAAAATGCCATATAAGGTAAAATACCAGGAACATGGAAAAAATGTTAAAAAAATTTTATCTATAAAAATTTCGAAGTTATGAAGGTTTAAAGTTTGCACTTTGACTCTATTTATTTCTGTTAGAAAAATTATTTTCCAAGTTTTTTTGCTATAGGCTATTAAAAGAAGAAACAAGGAAGTAGTATCCTAAATTGTAACTCTGTTCAATGTTATTTGTGGCTTTTATTGGAAAAATTTTTGTCCCTTTACTAAATAATTATAAAAAAAACATATAGAGGATCATCAATATCATTAAATAGATATAAAAAAATGACAAATGTCAAAAAATAAATGTCAAAATTTTTTGACAGATAGAATTTTTTAAACATTTTTTTCATGTTCCTGGTATCTTACCTTACTTGAAAATTTTCTCTGGAGCGCGAGGTCTGGAGCACCCTGTATATATATATATAATAATAATAATAAATAAGAATGAAACAACAAAAAAATATATATCAAAATTGACTTCTAAGCTCAACTCAAAATTATTAAAAATATTATACGAGAAAAAAATATCATAATTAACATTAACATAGGTAAATATTTAACTATGTATTTTCATAAATTATTTTTTATGTTTAATAAAGTTTGTTGCACTGACTGTGGTTCTGTTTTTTACAATTGATATTAATAAAATGTAGGACGTAGGGAATGTAGGGACCTGTAATAACAAATCTGTCAGTTTTGACTATTTTCAAAAGTAGGACACACGATGACCGAAGCAAGAAATAGAATTAAAGGAACTAGACTTAAAAAAATATTATTTTTAAACTCATTAAAAAAAGAAGACTGGTAGATAAGTAGAGTAGTAGAGTGGAGTAAGTAAATGCGTTATTATATAGAAATATTGTATTTATTTTTAAAGAATGTTTATTTTTGTTTTTTTATTTTTGATGTTTAATAAATGTTTTGTTTGTATCACACTTATTTGATTCATTTTCAAAAAAGCAAATCAAATTGCAAACATCGATATAATATCGATGTTTTCACCCGATACATCGTACATCGATTAAAAGTCATGAAAAAATCGATGTTTTTCCTTCATTTTGCCCATCTCTACATCTGCCACATTTTGAATATGCGTATCTTGTGTTACCATTTTCAAATAATGCAATTGAATTTTCTTCTCAAATGTCTTAATTACTTTACAAATGTCATAAAATGATTTTAAATTGAAATCATTACACCGTGGAGTAAGTGCTACCAATAGAAGAAAAATAAATTCCCAAGCCGTAGAAAATTTAACAATAAATAAATTTGTTGGCCGCATACAAAATTGTCCAAAGTAAAAGTGTCCAACGTAAAATAATCCAATGTAAATTGGTGCAACATAATTTTGTTCACCGTAAAATAATCCAACGTACAGTTGGAGACAAAATACTTTGGTCGTCAATGTCACTTGAGTGACATTAAATTGTAAAGCATGCTTTAGGACCGTTAACCTTATTTTTAGCTATTGTCAATCATAGTTGACAAGTTGTATGTATATATTTTTGATAGGAAAATATAATAGCTGTCATTAATTTGAAATTGTCATTCATTTTAATGTTAAAGCTTGAATTACATTAAAGTGTCAGAAAAGTGACAACCAAAGTATTTTGTCTTCAACTGTAAAATAATGCAAAGAAAAATCAGCAATTGTCCATCGTAAAAAAGTCCAACGATTTAGGAACATGTTTGGGTGTTGGCAGTATTGACAGACATGGCCCCTGCGCAAGAATAAAAAGAAAAATTGACTGATATCAAACGACTGTATAAAAAACAGCAAATTATATCGACTGTTATCATAAAAAATTGCATTAAATTAAGAAAAACTACTTTATAAAATTCATAAAAACTACTTGGTAATTTCGTTATCAGGTTGGTACTGCAAAGAACACCAAAATCTTTGGACATTTTTACGGGGGCCAAAAGTACGGTTGCTCATTTTACTTTGGACAGAAACACTTTGGACAATGTTGAGCTCTCCCAATTGTTTTAATTGAAAAATGTTGTCGGTTGACAGTTTCTGGTCTAGTAATACAAATAACTACAGAGTGGTTATAAATGATTTTCATCTAGCCAGCTTTGGAATTTTTTTGCATGTAACTTTATTTGTGCCGCTCTACTTTTTTTGAAAGCTCTAGTTCTGTCATTAGTGTCATTTTATTGTTTTAACTAATTTCCAATAATAATTGATAATAATATTTACTTTGGAAGAAAACAAGTATATAATTGAGGTCTATTTTCGAAGTGGACGCTTAGTAAACGGCGATTTTTTAATTTTTAGTTAAAACAAGTAGGTACCCCTATTTTCGTAAAGCGGCATTTTTTATTTTATATGGAAAATTCACAGCTCTCTAGATGAAAATCATTTATAACCACTTTGTATTTTGTATTTCAGCGTCGCGGATGTACGACAGCGCACCCCCAGCGACGAAAAAGCAACAAACAGCCCTCAAAAACAAGGTTCTCGAAGGGGACAGTTCGTTTTCGGCTCATTGTAGATCATTCGAATCACAAATCCGCGATTTGAATCAACAGTTTAACGTGGTTAAAGAAAAAGTGAGCGATTTGCATCGAGATATAACAGCGTTGAGGAAAGCGCAAGCGCCACCGTTAGCCGCCCGTTATGATATGTTAATGAGGGAGTGTTTGCATTTAGACCAGAATTTGGAGAGGCAACAACAGGAGTTGGATAGAATGGCTGAGAATTTCGACGCCAGTTGGGAGGAACAGTTGTGGAGATTGCGAGTGGAACAGGAGGTGTTCAGTTGTCAAAGGGCCGATGTTATGACTTTGAGGAATGAGTTGAAACACATCAGTCAACTGGTAGGGCAATTGGAACCATATATTAGAAGTCTTACTCCAGCACAGCAGAGTGAGACTGCGCAGGAGCAAAGCCAACAAATGCAAACGCTGCTCGACCATTTTAGTGAGTTTTAGTGGTTTGGATATTTTGTTGGTAATAATGCATGATGTGATGGCAAAAATTCTGTTGGCAACACCAGATCTGGTGATTTTCATGTTAGTCGAGTGATTTGGTGAAAAGTTTTAATATTTTTTTGGAGATGAAACAAACCATTGCAACAAAGATTAATACACTAATTATTTTTCAATTATTGATATTGTAAATCAGGTTAAAAATAAATTTTAGAGCATTTTCACGATTTGCAACTAGAAACTTGATCATTTCAGCAAATTTTCTCACAAATAAATCGAAAAAACAAAAAAATAGTTAAAAATTGTTCTATTTGTTACGAGATTTTACTAATAAGGTCGAAAATGACAATTATTTTTTACTTTTGCTTTTTTTATGCTCTGCTAGGTACATTTTTCAGCTAGAAACACAATTAATTTGCAAAATTTCGTTAAAAACAAGCCGAAACTTCACCAAATTTGGCTAAAAATGGTTTTCTTTTTGTTTTTTCCTAACCAAAAAATTTCGTTTAAATTGGCTGAAAAATTACAAAATTAAATCGAAAATGATATTATTCATATTGTCTTGTTCCATTTATTAAGTTTTCGGGTCAGAGGCTCATTTATTTTATAAAATCTTGTCCAAACAACCATAAAAATCACGAAAACAAAAACACAAAATTTGGTCAAAGCACGTTTTTGTGCTCAGTTTTTTGCTCAGTTTTTTTGCTATATTTTGCCAAAACAATTTCGCAAAATTTCGTTAAAAACAAACTGATAAATCACTAAATTAGGGCAAAAATTTTTGCTATTTTCGAGCAAATTTTTGAACTAAAAATTTCGTTTTTTCTAAAAATTTGGTACACAAAAATCACTAAATTATTATGGAAAAGATATTAGAGATAAGGTATTTTTATCTAGCTCTTAGCTTTAATCACTCAGTTTATGTGTAAAAACGTAAACTCTCGACTTTTTGGTGTTAATCAAGATTTTTCACATTCAAAACTTAAAAAATTCGAATTTTTTAAAACTTGACCCAATAACGTTTTATGCACTTTTTTGAGTTTCTAAGAAATGGATCAATTTTAAAGTTGAAAATTTTTTGGATTTCCAATGAGATTTTGGTCGATTTTTTGCACCCGGAGCGGTCTAATGCCAATAACTGCGGACTTTTTAGAGATAACTTCTTATATTGGGTACCGTTGGGAAGAAAATTTAATTTTCTATCTTATACAAAAAAGATCAGTGCTCTACGATAAATAGTTATCGAGAAAATTTGTGATAAATTCAAAAATATCAAAAATTTAAATACGTCTATAACTTAAAAACTATTACGAATTTTGCAGTTTTCTTGACGCCAATCGATTCCCCGAACATTTTACATAGGTTTACGTCAAAATATCATCAGGGTACAGTTTTGCTGCAACTTACAAAATAAAAGAAAGAAGAATAAATTTTTTTTTATTTTTTGGTCAAAATCAGATGCTTCGAACTTTATTCTTAACTTTATTACTCAATATTTCAAAAACCTTGTATCGTGTTCAGCGCGTAATTTTACGTCTAGAAAACCATATTTCGTTTTTTTATGCACTTTTTTGAGTCTCGTTTAGTAACAGTTTTTTATAATAAAACTTTATTATTTTTACCCAGCGTTTAGTATTTTTACTTAGCAAATGTACTTATGATTTAATTTTTTCTCTTTAATTTTTGTGAATTTCTACTGTTCAAAATATGTTTTAATTTGCTCTTACTTATTAATTTATTAAGTTTAATTAGAAAAACAAAAAAAATTTGCTTAAAATTTTAATATACCGGGTGCGGCATCCGTTACGCCCAGAAAGAAAATCCCCACTTCTAATTAAATAAAATTGTTGAATTTTTTCACACTTACCTGGGCATTAGTAAGGTACATTCTCTAATTTTTTGGTAATTTTTCATTTACAAACAAATCCAAAAAATAAAAGTAATTTTCTCTAATTTTTTCTAAAAAAAGCGATTATTTGGCTAACCAATTCAAAATTTGAAATTGTGATATCAAAGTTTGATGCGCTGACAGGTACAGATTCATTTAGTGTAAAAACTTTATAGGTAAATTAACAGAAAGTATTCATAAAACACACAAAACTGTTACGGACTCATTTATTATCAAAAAAATTAGAAAAATTCTCAAATTATACCCTATCAATAATTAGTTAGATATATGAAATATCGCCAGTTTTAATTAATTAGAAGTCGCGATTATCAAAGGGCGTAACCGATGCCGCACCCGGTATTAATTCTTGACATTACATAATTTTTGAAGTCGATAATTTGGGTTTTTGTAAAAACAAGTAGCTCGTTATAGACTTTTTCAGATGTTTTACAACAATCCGACGCAAGTTTGGGCAAAATCCCTCGCTCGAGGTCCCGCGTTTTGGGCCAACTGTTCGAAAAAGTCCGTCCAAATATCCAAGAACGTGAACGGAGTAAATCGGCCGGTCAAACCGACAAGCCTTTAAGCACACCTCTCAAACCAAAGAAGCCCTTCATTCCCACCACCCATCAAATGAACATTGAACGTCTGGAAGCCCACTTGAAGGAGAAAATCCACGAGATTGTCTGTCGACGCCAATCGGCGACTCCCCAATCCAAATCCGATCCAGAAACCGAACGGAAACTCTCCAAAGACGAGCGAAAACTAAGCAAAACCGATCTGGATTCCATCAACAAGCTCGGGACGAAACAGAGGATTATGTATAAGAAAATCGGGAAAAGTTGCGACAAAATCAACACTTGTAGCAAATCGGATAGCGATGTGAAAAAGCGAACCGAGTCGGATTATCAGCGAATTTCCGATGCGACGAGCCAGAATGTGAAGGCTTTGGTGCACAAGGAGACGCGCTCGAGTCCGAGTAGCCCCAAATGCAAGAATAAGCCGAAACCGCCCCCGAAGCAGAGAAAATCCCCCAAGGTTTACCCTTATAGTGACGGGGAAGACAATGTGTTTTACTCTCTTCACGATTCTGCCGACTCTATGAGTACTTCTAGTCGAAGGTCGAGTTTCGAAGGGCCTGATAAGACCCTTGTTGTTGTTATCAATAAACGCAGTAATAATATGTCAATGGCTCAAAAGCAGAGAAGTTGGGAGACTTTTCCGCCCAAAAGACGCCACCATATGTGTCATAAATTGTCAGCGCCGAATCCGATGCCGTTACGAAAGGCTGATAGTTTCGAAGGGCATGAAGAAGCTGTTAAAAGTTTGGTTGCAGCTGTGCAAGAGACTAGACGTAAGCCTAAAGGTGGTAATTAACCCGAGAAGTTTGTCTACGAGGGGTTTTTGTTGTATTATGTTGGAAATTGAATGTGTTTTTGAACATTGTTGGCCTAATTTATTCATGTTGCTAATATTCGACTAGTTTAGATTGTGTACTATGTAAGTTTTATTAGAATAGGTATTTCGAATTATGTACACCGACGATTAGTTTGTGACGAATTTGAAAATATGTATATTGGGCGAAATTAAACGTTGAATTATTATTGCTTGTTTTTATTTTGCCACAAATTACGTTGTTGCGATTTTTAAAAGCATCAGGAAAAAGAATTAAACTAGTGAGAAGGTATTCCACATTTTCTGAAATAAAAGAAATATCAGGAGTAAGTATTAGGATGAAAAGAACGTCAGAAGGTATTCCATATTTTTAAAATTAACAATTTTGTGATTTTTCGAAATATTAGGAGTAAGTATCTGGATTACGTACATGAAAAATGTGCAATTTTTCGAAATATCAGAAGTATCAGGAGGTATTCCACATTTTTTAAATTGAAAATTTTGCTATTTTTTGAAATATTAGGAACAAGTACCAGGATCACAGAAAAGCAAAGAGGTATTTCAAATTTTTAAAACAAACAAATTGGGATTTTTTCGAAATACCAGGAGCAGGTCTCAGGATCATATAAACGCGAGGAGGTATTCCATATTTTTAGAAGTGAAAATTTTGCGATTTTTCGAAATATTAGGAGTCAGGATCACATGAACGAGAGGAGGTATTCCATCTTTTTTAAATAAAAAGTTTCCCGCGATTTTTTGTAATACCAGGAGTAAGTATCAGGATCACATAAACGCAAGGAGGTATTCCATAAATTTAAAATTGCAAATGTTGCAAAATATCAGGAGTAAACACGAGGAGGTATTCAAGACTTTTAAAACTAATTTTTTGCAAAAAACGAAAAGAATAAAAGGGTTATATTGGGCGACATTAAACGTTGAATTATTGCTTGTTTTTATTTTTCCCCAAATTACGTTGTTGCGATTTTTAAAAGCATCAGGAAAAAGTGTTAGACTAGTGAGGAGGTATTCCATATTTTCTGAAATAAAAAAATGTCAGGGATAAGTATTAGGATGAAATGGACGCGAGGAGGTATTCAATATTTTTAAAATTGAAAATTTTGCGATTTTTTGAAATATACGAAGTACGTAGCAGGATCGCAGAAACGCAAGGAGGTATTTCAAATTTTTAAAACAGAAAATTTGGGATTTTTCGAAATACCAGGAGCAGGTATCAGAATCATATAAACGCGCGCATTTTTTTTAAAGTGAAAATTTTGCTTTTTTTAATATTTAGGAGTGAGTATCAGGATCACATAAACGGGAGGAGGTATTTCATATTTTTTAAATTGAAAATTTTGAGATTTTTCGAATCAGGAGTTAGTATCAGGATCACATAAACGCAAGGAGGTATTCTGTCTTTTTTAAATTGAAAATTTCCCGCTATTTTTGAAATACCAGGAGTAAGTATCAGGATCACATAAACGCGAGGAGATATTTCATAAATTTAAAATTGCAAATATTGCAAAATATCAGGAGTAAACACGAGGAGGTATTCAAGACTTATAGAACTTTTTTTTTACAAAAAACGAAAAGAATAAAAGGGTTATATTGGGCGAAATTAATCGTAGAATTATTATTGCTTGTTTTTATTTTTTTATTACGTTGTTGCGATTTTTAAAAGCATGAGGAAAAAGTATTAGATTAGTGAGGAGGTATTCCACATTTTCTGAAGTAAAAAAATGTCAGGGGTAAGTATTAAGATGAAATGAACACGAGGAGGTATTCAATATTTTTAAAATTACAAATTTTGAAATTTTTTAAATCAGGAGTTAGTACCAGGACCGGTATAGGTGGTATTCCACATTTTTAAAATTGCCATTTTTCGAAAAATCGAGAGAAAACACGAGGAGGTATTCAAGACTTATAGAACTAAATTTTTTGCAAAAAAACGAAAAAAATAAAAGGGTTTGTAGGGTTCAAATAACAATTAGATTCTTTCATAAAATAGTTTATTTACATTTTCTTAATCAAGGTAACAGCATTAATTAGCGATCGGACGGATTAAATGCACTTCAAATTGACTTTAAAGACCAAAACGTGTTTGGTAACTAAGTTAATTCGCTACAAACATCTAAAAATAAGTAATTAAAAATCTCTATGTAAATACCTACAATACTTAAAAAACTCTTAAATCACAGAACAGCATCGATTTTGCCTAAAATTACCTCCAACATTCTGAGAATTTGCAGAAATCAAAGTGCAATTCGACAGATCACAACAAAAAAAATCATCACGTTTCGCAACAGTTTAAAACAACAAAGAAAAATCACAAACGCAATCCAAAATAAAACAAAAATGTAGATCTCCACCACGTTGCAAAAATAATCAGATCCGTGCAATGTGAATTCGGCAAAATTCTCCCACTTTTCGGAATGCTATCGAAGGAAGAAACTCAGGAGTTTCCTTCGAGGGGGCGCCACCGGCGCCACAATTTGCTTCATACTGACTTCTTGCGACGTCAACTTGCTGCGCAACTGCTCATCCAACAACTCCTGCATGTCCATCTACACAAAAAAAAATTAAAAACAAACACAAAACAAAAAGTAGAAAAACCGACCTGCCATTGCTCGAGCTGTTGACTCAACTCAACTTTCTGTTGAATAGCTTCCAACAACTGACTATTGGCTTGCATCAACTCAACTCTAGTCTTCGCCAACTCGACTTCAGCCTTGGTTTTCCTCTGCACCGCCAAATCGCGGTCTTCCCTTGCTTTAATCACGACGTCTTCTTGAGCCAATGAAGAATTCGACGCGTCGTTCCTCGCCCTGTCTCTCTCCTCCATCGCCGCTTGCAACTCCACTTCGCAAACAGAAACCTACAAAAATTTATTCACACCATGAGCGCGACTTTTCACATTTTCAATGGGTGAATAAACAAAAAATTGGTAAAACTTGCAGGACTTGAGAACAATTAAATACACAAAAAAACGATTTCTTCTTCCCTATGTTTGCTAAATTAATTGTATTTAATATTTAGAAAATTTCAAAACAATATTTTTTGTATACTTACTCGTAGTACAAAAGAAAAAAATCAATAAATAACATAAGCAATAAAAAGTGTAAAGAAAATAGTATACAGGTGTCCCGTGAAAATGATAACATTAAAAAAAAACTGTACAGGACATTGCATCACCTAAAATTATTTTCAACTATATAGTGTGTCCCAAAATTAAGTTACGATACAAACTTGTGTTTTTTTAAATGAAACACCGTTTGTTTCTTGGCATTTTTGGATGTAGCCTTTTAAAATAATGTTTTTACGCCAAACTTTTATTAGTCGATTTCGCTTAGTTTTATAAATAAGACGTTTTTTTGACGAAGACATGCACTTTTTAAAAATTTATTACACAAAAACTAAGATAGCTAGAACAAATTTTTTCTTACTTCTGCAAAAAAGAAAGTACAGAAATTAAAGCTATAGCAATTTTTTAGTGTTTTGCGTTTGTAAATAAAGATTAATAAATTAAGAAGTTTGTTAAAAGTTAAATAACTTAAAAAAATTAAATGGAACACCCTATTTTTTATTTTTGCATCTAATAGATTGATAAATTTTCTATCTAAAAAAAATAACTTTTAATGTCTAGAGTTGATAAATGAAAAGATATTTAACATTCAATATTAATTGTAGCAACAATGATTATCAATATCTGAGCATTGTTGATACTATGGCAATCATAGTAATTCCACCACGGATCACTTATCCGTTGATTTATCCAGAAATTGTAAAAGTCGTTATAAAAACTGAAATTCGAATTATTTTATTGTAAAAATAAAAAATAATGGATTCAGTTTAACACAAATGTGATTATTAAGTGATATTTCTTCCATTTCTTGTGCAATTGTGCATTTTTTGGCTCTTCAAACAATAGTAATTATTTTTTTAATGTTTTACGTTAAATATCTTTTTAGTTATTGATTATAAACACCTAAGAGTAAATTATTTTAGAAAAAAAATTTAATATCTTTCAATTCAAAAACAATAATAAGGGTGTTCTATTTAATTTTTTTAGCTATTGAACTTTTAACAAACGCCTTAATTTTTTTATCTTTGCAAATGCAACACGCCAAAAAAATGTTACAACCTTATAGCTTGTACCTTCTTCTTTGAGGTAGTAAAAAATATTTCTAGATGTCTTAGTTTTTGTGTAATAAATTTTTAAAAAGTGCATTTTCGCCAAGAAAATTGTCTTATTTTTAAAACTAACTAAAATCGACCAATAAAAGTTTTGCTTAAAAACATTGTCATAAAAATCTACATCCAAAAACGCAATGAAACATATGGTGTTTCATTTAAAAAAACACAAGTTTGTATTGTAACTTATATTTGAGACACGCTGTATAGTTGAAAATAATTTTAGGTGACAGACTAGATTAGTAATGTCCAATATATTTTTCACTAATGGACTTTTTCAACTCGCACACCCTGTATATTCAAAGTTACAAAATGCTTAAGTTTTAAAAAAACACACAATACTGTTAAATTTGAAAAAAAAAATTGGAAACAATTAAAAAATTACTTTTTTTGAAAATTTGCATGAATGTTGGTAAATCTAATGCAGTAACTTTTCATTAATGCAATTAATTTGAGATGAGTAAAATTAGGGTATACAAAAGCTAAATAAATGGTCTCAAAAATGAGGCAGTATTCGTTTTTGATTTTTTACATTTTCAAAATTATCAATTTTTTCTTCAATTTTTTCAATTTTTTTTTTCAAATTTAACATGCAAAATTGTAGAAAAAGGTGAAAAGAAATGCTTTTTTTCATTTTATTAAGATGTTCACGAACAATTAATTCCTTTAATTCTTTTGTAAAACTTTGATCAATCAGTCCGAAAAAACAGTTTAGAGCTATTGGGCTATGAAAAAACCTAATGAATGACATATTTAACCATTTAGATTTACTACAACAACAAAAAAAGTTACTTTTTTTCTCTTTTCTTTGAATCAATGTTACGAGTAATTTTTTTTTCAAAAAATCGTAAAATAATATTGAATAAAATTTAGTCCAGTTTTTAAAACTGTCCTTACATTATCTGTGCGGTGCGATATCCACAATCAAAGACAAAAAATCCTTTTTCATTAAAAGTCAAATATCTCAGCGACAAATTGACGTAAAAAAATCATAAAAAAGCAAATTAAAGTTGAATGAACAAGCTATCCCACTCATGTATTGATTTACTTAATAAAAATTTCACCAAGTCCGTGGATTAAAAAAAAGAACAAAAAAAAATCAATTTTTCTCACGCTATTTCTTAGGATTACGTAATAACCGTAGCTCAGAAAATTTTTTTACAAAAGATTTCAATATTAGAACTCGATCCATTTTCTTCCTAAAGTGGATGTTTTATAGTTTTAAACAGTAAGTAATAAAAAAGTCAACTCCACAAATCGATAAATTTTTATTTAGTCAAGTTGGGACCCTTACGCCATTATCAGCCGTTAAAAATTACAAGATTAAAAAAATTGAAATGTAAACTGTTAAAAAAAATTTTCCTGATTATAACCAATGGAAAAGGATTTAAACATTATTCCTTTGTAAAAAAAAAACGAGGTCAGTGAAGCTGAAGCCTCGCCAGTGAAAAATTTTGGATAATAACAAAAATCAAAAATCTTTTGATTTCAACACTAGAAACTTGAAGTTTTAAAATGCATTTTTTAAATCTAAACACGACCATTCTACATTGAGGTACAATATTTCAAAAATCATCAAAAAATTTAAGAAGTTTTTTGTTCTCTAAATTTTTCGGAATAGTAAAATGTTTTGTCGTTTTGAAGTTTTTGAGATAATAAGAAATCTTTTTTCAAGGAGTTTTTCACTAATAAAACAAAATAGAATAACAAACGATGAATTTGATCCATTTTCTCGAAGCGGAAAATAGAAAATTTGAGACATCTTTGACATTAGAAGTGATTTTAAAGAATGCAACGTTACTAAAAAAACATTCAAAAGCCTTACTTTAGTGCTTAGTTCCATGATTTTTTCCGATCTCCGTGCCAACTCCGTGTCCCTTTCTTGTATCTCCCTTCTAGCTTGTTCAAGTCTTTCGAGTAATCGCACCACGTCTGTATCTAAGACTAAACCGACTAGTTCTTGGGCGACTTCGCTTAAAAGTCCGGCTGAAAATTGGGCGTTTTCTTCGAATGATGTTGTTGAACAGTCGGAATGTAAGCCGCTGTCGTCGTCGTTGTGCGATTTTAGTTGTTGAACTAAAGATCTCAATTGGCGGTAGACGGACATGCATTCTTGGGATAAAGTCGGTTCGCTTATATCCATTTCTGCTAAGAGAGATCGTTGTTCACCGGCTGTCATATAATACACAAAACGGTTAGTTCATGTTAGTAGTTTTGCGGGGAGACTTTTGTTAGTACGGTAATTTACGTAAAAACAGATAAGGAGAGGAGTTATTTACATGTTTTAGGAAACAAGTGGGTGACAATCATAATTTTTTTAATTTTTTGACAATGTAAGTATGAAATTAGTGATTTATTTGGCACGACAAAAAATAGTTGCACATGAGAAACAAAATTTTTAACAATGTTTTTAGAAAATACAGAGATGGTATAATAAAACCTTTAGAAGGTGTAATTTAGTGAAGCCCCAGAATAAAATCAGCTAAAATTATTTTGTAGTGGTAGTAAAACTAAACTTATAATTTAGAATAATTCTATGTACACTTATTTTCGATGATGTCATAACTTCAGAAGATTCACAAATTTTTACTTTTCTTATTATGTAAATCGAGGCAAAACCTTAAAGTCTGTTTTTTCTTTAAAGGGAAATTACCAAGTCAAAGTTTTGGTGAAAAAATTGGTAGCAACTTGTCTACATAGCCACAAATTTTGTTTTTATCCCCAAATTTTGTTAAAAAAATTATGGTTATGTTTTCAAATTGAGATGTCAAAATTTTGACTTTAACGAATCTTGTGTCTGTTTACTCTTTGAAAGTGCTGAGGACAGACATCATTAACTAAGGTCTAAAGACAGAATTCATTGCTAATAATTTTGATAGAAACACACCGCAAGTAAGTACAATGTTGTGGACAAAAATGAGGTTCTTGCTACAAAAAACTTTGAAAAAAAAAAGGATGTAAATACAGAAAAAAGTTGTTTAGCAAAAGACACAAGTATGATGATTGGCAATAAATTGTATGTAATTTTTTGAAATGAGCTCAAAATTCATGCATTTTATACATTCTTTTTCAGCTTTAGTTACTTTTTCAACTAGTTCCGCAAAAACGATGCACATTCATGTTTATTTTGTATTCTTGTTAGCGGTACCAAATTTGTTCTTTTTTTTGTGTTTCATCTCTAAATTTTCTTAGACGATTTTTTGTGTTGATGTGTAATGACATTGTTTTCAAATTAATTCACAAAACCGGAACTGACAACTTCCTTTGTTAAAATTGCAATGAATGCCAACGTTAAGACTGTTTGGCATTTCCATTAAAAAAAAGACTTTACCTCAAAGAAATTGTTTTACCAAGAATAAAATTTTTCGAAATTTTCTTTTGTTTGTGAGTACTACATTTTTTTTTTTTTTCAAAAGGCAGCCCATCATAAAACCATTTTTCTCATGAAGGTTATGATCTAAAAATTACAACTATCTACTTTATATTTAATCTTTCCAAAAAATTTTTTTTACATAAATTGCAATTTTGACAAAAACAAATCGCGTAACTCCATTTTCGTTCTCACAATACGACCACATTTTTTATATTACTTTAATTCATATTAATTATTATTTTCTGAAAATAAATGATTAAAAAAACCGCTTGGTTCCGTACTTTATATTCACCCTGTGGTTAAAGCAATATTTTGGATATTTTTGACTTTATCAGCAATTTTCTCGATAACTATTTAACGTAAGACAAGTATCTTTTTATACAGGGTGCGCCAGAACTCGCGCCCCAGAGAAAATTTTCAAGTAAGGTAAGATACCAGGAATATGAAAAAAATGTTTAAAAATATTTATCTGTCAAAAAATTTTGACATTTACTTTTTGACATTTGACATTTTTTTATATCTATTTAATGATGCCGATGATCTTCTATATGTTTTTTTACAATTATTTAGTAAAGGGACAAAAATTTTGCCAATAAAAGCCACAAATAACATTGAACAGAGTTACAATTTAGGACACAGCTTCCTTGTTTCCTCTTTTAATAGCATATAGCAAAAAAACTTGGAAAATTATTTTTCCAACAGAAATAAATAGAGTCAAAGTACAAACTTTAAACCCTCATAACTTCGAAATTTTTGTAGATAACATTTTTTCCATGTTCCTGGTAGGCTTACCTTATATGACATTTTTCCCTGGGGCGCGAGTTCTGGCGCACCCTGTATATGATAAAAAATTAAATTTGCTTTCGAACGGTACCAAACAAAAAAGACTAGCGTCAATAATTACGAAGTTATTAGCAATGAACCAAAAATCGCCCAAAATTTTGACAAAAATCGAAAAAATTAAAAACTTCAAAATTAAACAACATTACATTCTTGGAAGATCACAAGACTTCGAGAAGAGTACAAAATCATTGTAAAAACGCAAAAAATAAATTTTTGAAAAATTTTGTGTATGAATATGTATATTGAATTAAAACATTGAGACTGTCGGCGGCGGCGGTGGCTCAGCGGCATATGGTCCCGCTTTCCAGCAGGTAGGTCCGGGTTCGATCCCCGGTAAAGTTAGCAATTTTTCACAAATTCAAATCCAAATATAATTCAAATTAATGTTAAAAGATAGTGGGCGCATAAGAGCGCGAACTTTAAAACATGTGTACATGTTCTAATAAGTATAAGAGAGAGAAAAAGAGAGAGAGAGCGCATATGAGTAAATAAAAACGCAAAAAAGCATAAGAAAGAGAAAGAGCGTAAGAACAAATAACTGATCAAAGCATAAGGAAGAAAAAGCACAAGCTTTTTTCTATTTCGACAATTTTCAATTATACGAAATGCCCTTTGTGACAATGTTCTTAGAAACATTTTATGCTACATTTTTACTATCACTGACTGTACAAATGAGTGCCCGAATTTTTTTACATAGGTAAACCCCCCTAAACTCTATCTTTGGCTGCGCTACTGGTGTGATTTATTATACCTGTTTGGCCAATGGAAGTTGTTTCAAGTAAATTAAGTGTTTTTATGGCAATAATCTTGTTCAGAAAATTTATTTATAATGTTAAAATAAATACGTTGATATTAACACACTGTTAGATTAGATTAGATCTAGATTCTACATTCTAGATCAAGATTCAGTTAAAAATTGTTAAATAATTTATAAAAATTGTGTACTACCACTAAGTGAATCACATTTTTTTTTGCCAAAACTTTATTTTAGTTCCTTATTATGTACTTGCAAGATCCTTAACTAAAGTTTTTTATTTTGATTCAAGGGCTATTTAAAAATTTCAAAATTAAATATTTTAACTGCGATTTTGTTACACAATTCTTTTGATACATCTTTGTGAAATACAAAGACAATGAATAAAAAAAAATCTGAGGATTGAAGCTCACATGTATTTTCATACTATAAAAAGTGGTTATGCCCTTGCTGTCTCAAAAAAAAATTAAAGTATGAACATATACAAATTATTGCCGCGTTCGCATAATACAAAATAAACTGCTCAACAATTGAAGTGGATATTAACTATTTTTCGAAAGTTTGCAATTAAAATAAAATATATGTTACAAAAAATAGCAATTCATACTGACAATAGACACAATTTCAAAAATTCATTTTATGTTTTGTTTTATATTATTTTTTTATGACTTTCACGATAGGATGCTATGCTTTTCACAACCAAATTGGAAAAAATCTTGTATAAAACACGATTCAAAATGGCTGTTTTTTGCACACCTCTAGTAAAAAGAACGCTCATTTTGCAACTTGTTTTTTTAAACATTTTTAAACATCATAGACGATTTTGGTTGAGAAAAACGAAATTTAAAACTTTTATTTCTTTAATTTTTTTGTTTCTATTGATTATTGTTTTTTTAATGTATTTTGAAAGAGTTTTTATTTTATGTTTTGATTTCCAAGTGTTACATTTTTCTTAGTATTTATTAATTCAAATTGTAAAAAATCTTGTATAAAACACGATTCAAAATGGCTGTTTTAGTGTTTTTTGCACACGTTTAGTAAAAAACACGCTCATTTTGCAACTTGTTTTTTAAACATTTTTTTAGTAACATTTTTAACTTTTTTATCATAGACGATTTTTGTTTAGAAAAACGAAATTTAAAACTTTTATTTCTTTAATTTTTTTATTTCTATTGATTATTGTCTTTTTCAATGTATTTTGAAAGAGTTTTTATTTTATGTTTTGATTTCCAAGTGTTACATTTTTCTTAGTATTTATTAATTCATGTTATTCACTGATTTGTGTTATTTTATGCTTAACTTTGATAATTTTCATATTTTTTTATTTTTTTTTACACTTTTACACTTTTTTTACACTTTTATACTCCAATTTATGGTTATAGACATGGTTTCATTTATAATTTCCGTTAGAAAAAATGCGGTTTATGTTTCTATTTTGTATAACATGTTTTTGTGTTTGTAGATAAATGAAATTAAAAGTATTAATAAAAATACATTGTAAGTGATCAAAATCAAGCAAAAGCCGTCCAAAAACGTTTAAAATCAAAGAGAAATTTAAAATAATTGCTTGAACAGCTGAAACTTCAGCGTGACTATATCTCTGTCTTTGTTAAACAACAGCAATTCCTAAGTCTACTGTCCTTTTCTAAGTCTAATCATTGAGTATAGTAAAAAAAAAGTTCGAAACGTCGCCAAGAAGAGAAATGCAATGATTTCTTCAGTAAGAATAAAGAAATTTAAATACAGTGGACATGTCTTGCAACTTACCATTCAGTCTATCTTCAATGGATAATTTCTCCTGTGGCAGGGAATAATCCTTCAAGGAATGTTGATACCTCAAGTCTTGCTCCCTGGCATGCCTCTCCAGAAGCAAAATTCTATCTGAGGCCTCCTCCAAGGCATTAGCCAAACTGTCTCGTTCAGCTGCCGCCATATGCAGTCTTCTCTCCAACTCTTTATTCTTCTCCGTAACCAAATCTAGTTCATCTCGTAAAGTGTCAACACTGTTCATATGTTCATGAAGATTCGTTTTGCCAAGTGCACACTCTTGTTTCAAACACTCAATTTGTTGTTGTAATTGACTTTCAACAGCTGCTGCTTCTTTCAATTGAGTTGTAAGACGAGCATTTTGAGCGTTTAGTTCTGCCACGAGATTGCTTTTCTCTCTGTCCCATTGTTTTAAGACAGATTCTTTCGTTGCTAGTTTATTCGATAGTTCGGTTATGTCGTTTTGTAATTCGAGAATGCGCCCTTCGAATTCCGATTCTTTATTGGCTAGTTTACGTTTTAGGAGATGACGGTCTTGCTCAACAGCCTGAAAAAATCAATGTTTCAGTGTCACTAGCATGAAAAAAAAACGTTTTATGGAATTAAAAATTAAATTTATTAAGTTATTATAATCTAGTACAAAATAAAATTCATTTGCCCAAACGACAGATTAATCACGAATTCGATTACAACTGAATAATTAAATTTAAAAAAATCAAATTAGATATACATGATGCGCCAAAACTCGCGACTCATAAAAAGTGAGAAACCAGGAACATGAAAAAAATTTCTATCTAGAAAAATTTCGAAGTTATAAGAGTTTAAATTTTGCATTTTGATTCTATTTATTTCAGTTGGATAAATAATTTTCCAAGTAAGAAGCTGTATCCTAAATTATAACTTTGTTTAATGTTATATGTGGTTTTTATTGTCGAAATTTTTGTACCTTTACTAAAAAATAATAAAAAAAAAACATATACAAGATCATTAGTATCATTACATAAACTTAAAAAAAATTCAAATGTCAAAAAATAGATGTCATGTTCCTGGTATCTTATCTTACTTGGAAATTTTCTCTGGTGGGCGTTTTCTGAGACATCCTGTATACAGAAATGACTAAATCCGAAACATTAGAATTTTTTTTAACGTAGTCGTATTGCCTAGTAATTTTTGTTCGAATTTTATTCAAAAGTAAATGAGTTTTTGTTCTTGTTTTTATTATACAGAGTGTTTCGGCTAAACCCCACATTATTAACAATGATTATTTATCTAAAAATTTGTATATTGTAGCCATAAATGACGGCACTTATTGAATTTTTGGATTTTTCAAGTGATTTTGAAAGAGTTTTTATCAGCCTTCCCTATACCTAAGTTTAACCGTTTTCGAAATATTTCGATTTTTTTTTAAATTTTTTGAATTTGCACCTTTCCGTTGAAAAATCGATAACTCTACCATTTTTAATTATTTTGAAAATGAGTTAGAACGTAATGAAAGAGAAAGGTTAGATCTTTCTTTTGTTGTATTCATAATTAAAAAAATAAATAACAAACCCCCAAAATTTAACGATTCGTTTTTGAAAATTCAAATACTTATATCACACTTTTTTTCCCAAATAAAAGGCCTCAATTTTTTCTTCACTAAATGGATGAGAATTTAAATCATGGATCTGTATCAACTTTTAATCTTTAATACTTCGTTTCCAAGTTATTTTGACTTTTTTTAACTTTTTTTTCGCATATTTGGCCATGGAAATAATTTTAACTGAATAAACGACAAGTTTTTTTCACAATTGTGTTATTCCTTTAATGCATTTAATCTAAATCTGAATAACTTTTATTCTTACATCTAGTAAATTAAAATATAGTACATAATTTATTAAAAATTATTATTCCTTTTATTTGAAATTTTTGCAATTTTCAGTCATTTTACAGAAAATTACTCTTACAAAATTACAGTATTCAAAACTATTTACTCTACCGTTCCGTAGATGGCATGTCGAAAAATTAAATTTTTAAGAAATACAGTAAACAAATGGGTTTTTTATAATTGGATGTTGTTCCTGAATTAAAAAAGTACCTCACACACACAGTAACACAGAGTTTTTATCTCATTTTGAGTATTTGTAACGGATTGCAAAATTCAATAATTTTAATTTTTTTATGAAAAAACGCATTATTTAAATTGCATGAAAAAAATACAGTAACATAAGTAGGTAATCTACAATACGCCAAAAATAAATCAAAAAATTCTTATGTACAGTTTTTTATAAAAAAAATAAAATGGCCAAAAAATTTTTTTAAATTTATTTTTAAACGTCAAGAACAAAAAATTTCAAATTTATATATATCGCTGCTAAGGCCATCAAAAAGTTATGATATTTTTTTCAGAATTTTTAAATAACGATTTATTCTTTTATTCAGTATAGTTCAACCTTAAGCATTTCTTGAAAAAAATTTTAAATGTTTTTTTGCAAGTGTAGAAATCTTTTCAGCCGGTATTTTTTGCCATTTTCTTAGTCTCCCCAACTGTCTTTTGTAACACGATATTTTGAAAAGTCTCAATTTACATTTTTTAAATTTGAGCATATTTATTTGAGAAATTTTTAAATTTATTTGAAATTTTTTAAACGTTTTCTTTGCAAATCTATATATTATTAAAACCGGTATTTCTCTAAACACTTCCTTAGTCTCCCCCATTGTCTTTTGCAACACGATGTCTTAAAAAAGTCTTGACTGAAATTTTTTTAATTTAAGTATTTCTTTAAAAATAAAAGATTAAATTTTTCCCTTGCAATTTATGGTAAACTAGATTTATGGCTAATGAATTTACCAATATCAAAAAAAAGTTAATATAAGTTGTAAACTACTCCTATTAAAAAAAAATTCTCTTCCACTTAGTGAAGAAAAAATTCAAGTTTTTTATTTAGAAAAATTGAGTTATGGATATTTGAATTTTCAAAAACGTAACGTTAAATTTTGGATATTTGCGAATTACTTTTTGAATTATAAATACACCAAAAAAGATATTCTTTCTCTTTCAAATACCAAGATACGATTCCATAATAATTAAAAATAGTAAAGTCATCGATTTTTGAAAAGGAACGTTAAAACCCAAAAATTTTCAAAATAAAGTCTAAAAACCTCAAAGACAACTTAACTTAGGTATAAGAAAAGTCAACAATAATTCTCATTAAATAACTCGAGAAATCCAAAAACTTAATAAAAAACCAGTATTTCTAATGTGGGTCTTAACCAGAACACCTGTATGTTTTAGGTTTTCAATTATGTCTATTTTATATTTTAGTTTATTTTATTGAAAGTTTGTATAGAAAATCTTGTGCAAGCACTACAATACTTTTCCTCCACAATAGGAGGAAGAGGATGCAGAGGGAGCGGTTTAGGGCCAGGTGCGTGGGTGTGCCCACTTCCGTTTTTTTTAAACCACCCCAAAACCGGAAACTGTAAAGCACTCGAGAAAATTTCACGGTGGTTCTCACAAGGCCGACTGCGGTATTTTGAATTTTTTATTTACATTAAATGATAACAAAAAAATAGAACAATGGAGCAGCAAATTTTGACCCATGTTTTCACGAAAATGACAAGGTCTTTGACTATCTTCGTTTCGGTTGGTTTACGTGATTTTTACACCGTGGAGGCGTACTTAAATTAGTTTATAAAGCCACCGGCGAAGGTGTGAGTGTCCTTCGTTTTTTATTTGGTGGCTAAGTTGGCGACCTTAGGTGGTGATTTCACTTAGAGATTAAATGGAGAATGTCCCACTTTGAAATCTTCACAATTTCAGGACTAAAATACTGAAATATTGGGCTCGCGTGTCGAGCTTCACGAAATAAAAGTAAAATTAGAAACGTGACGAAATAATCGAAACTAAAACCATGTTTTCTCAATTATAATCTGAAAACATTGATGATTAATCAAGAGAAAAAAATTGTCCCACTTGATGTAGGCGGAAAGTGATATGAGATCAGCATAAAACTCAGACAAGTTTATTTAAAATTCGCCTTTTTCGTAACAACTTAGTCATTCCATGCCAATGACTGCGAAAGAGGCCACTTTCTGAGCTCTGCTGAATTGTTTTATTTCAAAATAGTGTCATTTTCTAAAATTAAAATGACTAAACCAAGAAAAACCTCAGTGAAAGACCCATAAGTTTTCAAACCAAGGTTAACGGACGTTAAGTTAAAAAATCCGCTAATACCACCTTTCCATCTGACTCATTCCAGTTGTTTTTATCAGCCTTCCCTATACCTAAGTTTAAACGTTTTCGAAATATTTCGATTTTTTTGGTTAATTTTTAATTTGCACCTTTCCGTTGAAAAATCGATAATTTTTAATTATTTTGAAAATGAGTTAGAACGTAATGAAAGAGAAAGGTTCGATCTTTCTTTTGTTGTATTCATAATTAAAAAAATAAATAACAAACCCCCAAAATTTAACGTTACGTTTTTGAAAATTCAATAAATACTTATATGACACTTTTTTCCCAAATAAAAGGCCTCAATTTTTTCTTCACTAAATGGATGAGAATTTAAATCATGGATCTGTATCAACTTTCAATCTTTAATACTTCGTTTCCAAGTTATTTTGACTTTTTTTTTCGCATATTTGGCCATGGAAATAATGGAAATAATTTTAACTGAATAAACGACAAGTTTTTTTCACAATTGTGTTTTTCGTTTAATCTAAATCTGAATAACTTTTATTCTTACATCTAGCAAAAAGTATCGATTGACATTTTTTTTAAATTAAGCATTTCTTTAAGAAGTTTTTAAATGTTTTTTGCAAGTCTAGAAATCTTTTAAGCCGGTATTTTTTGACATTTTCTTAGTCTCCCCAACTGTCTTTTGTAACACGATATTTTGAAAAGTCCCAATTTACATTTTTTTTAAATTGAGCATATCTATTTGAGAAATTTTTAAATGTGAAAAATTTTTTTAAACGTTTTTAAACCGGTATTTCTCAACACTTCCTTAGTCTCCCCCACTGTCTTTTGCAACACGATGTTTTAAATAAGTCTTGATTGACATTTTTTTAATTTAAGCATTTCTTTAAGAATAAAAGAATAAATTTTTCCATTGTAAATTATGCTAAACCAAGAAAACCTCAGTGAAAGACCCATAAGTTTTCAAACCAAGGTTAACGGACGTTAAGTTAAAAAATCCGCTAATACCACCTTTCCATCTGACTCATTCCAGTTGTTTTGTAATAAATTGAACGATATTTAAGACCTGATTCTCCAGTGTGTATTTACGAAACGTTTAAAGACAAAGCGAGTAAAAACGAAAACTTCCGGTTGGGTGGGAATTACTGAAGCTCAAACACAGTACAGCTACTAGGAAGTAATTATATTAAATTTCGTAATTTTTTGAGTAATTAGAGCGACGATTTTTTATGTATGTAGAGGGTTGTGACCGCAAAGTTGAAGATTGCTCAACGAGCGAAACAAAAGGTCACAGCAAAAATTCAGTTTCAGCTTTTACCGGAAATTATACCAAATCGGTTTTTCTATTTTTGATCCTTGAGCATCAC